AAAACTTGTGAAACAAGTCGAATTATCAATAATTGTTGAAAGTAGACAGAAATAATGACTCGTGGTTAATCAAACTAGATGGAAAATAATTTTTAACATTTGAAGCGTAACAACCAGATCGATATTAAGATAAAGGGAGAGCTGTTTAGTCTTCCAATAAGTTGTAATCATCTTCGTTATCTTCATCTGGATCATCCCTTTCATCAGTTTTAATTAATTCAAGTTTTAATTTAACTGTTTCTTTTACTTTGAGTCCTATTTCATTATGTAGAGATAATCAATACCTAAGAAATTAAAAATTGGCCTATTTAAATCAAATTTGACAATAAGGACAAGAATTGGGCAAAAAGGTGAATTTTTTGCAATTTTAGCCAAATGAAGTCGAAAAACCTACAACAAGTGTCCCAATAGTCTTCTTTAGTGAATATAAGACAACGATTAAAATATGAGCACCCATACCCCTTGGGAACCCTAAAAGCTGAGTAGGCGGGTTAATTAACGACCGGTGAAAATGTGGTTCGGGAAAAATATGGCGAAATTACCCTAAACCCACCACTTTATCCCGGTCATAATAATCCCGAGTAAGGTAATTAGTATGCATATTTTCATGCTTTAGATTGTTAGGCAAAATAATTGTTAATAAATCAATCATACATCCGTATGTCCTTGATTCAGTTGTTCAGATGGGGACCGGGAACTCCGAGACTCCGTAGTAAACACTGTTTTACTACTTCTAGAATGTACGGAGCTGATCTGAGTTCCAGGATTAGGGGCCGGGGGGTCCCCGCACTTGAAAAATCTTGTTCTCAGGAACTTTTTAACAGCAGGCATGAGTAGGACGTACACGAGTGGATCTGTAGAGCTACTCATGTAGAAAAGAGAGACAGTCAAGACTTGGGCCACTTTGTAATTCATCGGGATGGAAAAGATGGAGGAGATGATGGAAGGGAACCAGCAAATGAACCCAGAGATAATGATGACAGTGGAAATACCCAGCAAACGTCGTGTCTTCGCTCCAGATCTTATCACCCTGAAAATAGATTAAACTATGTTATTATAATGTTAATGGTGTATTTGGAAATTCGGTAATCTGCCGATGAACGCTTAATAAACTAAACATGCAGTCCTGACGGAACCTAGATTGTCGTCGTCATCGACCCATGTAACTATCTATGATCGTCTCCAGCCATTCTGCCAACCCGTCCTTCAATCCCTAAACCACAAGTTCCTGGACCAGCGAACCCACCAGCTGCTCCTGCTCCTGCTCCTGCTCCTGCTCCTGCTCCTGCTCCTGCTCCTGCTCCTGCTCCTGCTCCTGCTCCTGCTCCTGCTCCTGCTCCTGCTCCTGCTCCTGCTCCTGCTCCTGCTCCTGCTCCTGCTCCTGCTCCTGCTCCTGCTCCTGCTCCTGCTCCTGCTCCTGCTCCTGCTCCTGCTCCTGCTCCTGCTCCTGCTCCTGCTCCTGCTCCTGCTCCTGCTCCTGCTCCTGCTCCTGCTCCTGCTCCTGCTCCTGCTCCTGCTCCTGCTCCTGCTCCTGCTCCTGCTCCTGCTCCTGCTCCTGCTCCTGCTCCTGCTCCTGCTCCTGCTCCTGCTCCTGCTCCTGCTCCTGCTCCTGCTCCTGCTCCTGCTCCTGCTCCTGCTCCTGCTCCTGCTCCTGCTCCTGCTCCTGCTCCTGCTCCTGCTCCTGCTCCTGCTCCTGCTCCTGCTCCTGCTCCTGCTCCTGCTCCTGCTCCTGCTCCTGCTCCTGCTCCTGCTCCTGCTCCTGCTCCTGCTCCTGCTCCTGCTCCTGCTCCTGCTCCTGCTCCTGCTCCTGCTCCTGCTCCTGCTCCTGCTCCTGCTCCTGCTCCTGCTCCTGCTCCTGCTCCTGCTCCTGCTCCTGCTCCTGCTCCTGCTCCTGCTCCTGCTCCTGCTCCTGCTCCTGCTCCTGCTCCTGCTCCTGCTCCTGCTCCTGCTCCTGCTCCTGCTCCTGCTCCTGCTCCTGCTCCTGCTCCTGCTCCTGCTCCTGCTCCTGCTCCTGCTCCTGCTCCTGCTCCTGCTCCTGCTCCTGCTCCTGCTCCTACTCGATATTGGGATATGGTGCCAGTCCGGTTTGAAAGCTAATTGGTCAGCTTTCAACCGATGATTCAAAGCTGGGGTGTGGTTATATTCTACTTATTCGATTATACAATATACATACTTCTGCCTCATCAAATATTAATCATTGATTATCTCATTAGCCATTTGTTTTTTATCGATTATTACTGTTAACCCATTAAAACTATGACGATGTTTTCCGTTTTATGTCTTATATATTTTTGTGGCATTACAAGGGTTACCGATCGAGATGATGTGATCATTTTACGTATACATGGTTTGGTAGCTAGTCTAGTGTCCACACATCAGTGGCCCATTTCTTGTTTCCAATGTTCTATGTTGTATAATATATAAATGTGTAACTTATCGCATCGTACAATATACAATATGCATATGTTTAAAGATTACAACTTTGTATTCTATAATGACGTCTAAGCATCGAACTATATAATATCCTTTGGCTAAATGTTGTTTGTTGTCAACTTGTCAGCCTGCACGGTTAGAAATGCCGAAGTAAAGTAAATAGTAATTTTAGGCCACTTAATTGTCTTTAGCGATGCCAATACCATGTTTCTACTCAGCTAAGTCTAAATTTGAACGACTAACTTTTCAAGAACTTACTTGTAGATGATCACAGCATACATCAGGATTATGGCTGCGAATGGGGCCCAGACCAAACTTGCAAATCTAGCTGTTCGAAGCCATGGATTTTTGTAGGAGTTCTGGCAACGATGATAGTTGGGGTAGTACTCCATCTGAAATATATCAGGTTTATTAGAATTTAAGAAGCCAATATAATAATGAAACACACAAATAACAAATCAGTATATTCAACTATTGAAAGCATAAAAGAATAATACGTTACTTCTTACCGAGTAACTTTCGCTGTCAGTAACCATGGAGCCTGCAAACCAGCAGTAAAAGACCATTTGAGGCAACCACACGGCTACACAGATTCCTATACAAACCCACTTTGTGAAAAAAGTTCTGTGCATGAAGGGTCGTGAGATGGCCACCACACGGTCAATTGTCAGAGCTACCATGCAAGGACAGTTCGAATAACTGGAAATTTTAAAAGTTAGAATTAGTCTGTGATGAGTTGTCGAACAATTGTGGACTTAAATCAATATAATTAATTATAATCAATAAATAACTCCAACTAGAAAAGTAGGAAAGGCCAGCTTACCTTACGAGCATCATGATAAGGAGATAAGCTGAACACCATCCATTCTCTGTTCCATTAACGAACCCGATAAAAATCGGATCTATTATCCCCAGGCCTCGAAAAAAACCAACCATTGCAATGAGCCAATCGCTGATAGCCAAGTTGAATATGAAAAATTTCTGAAATATGACGATATAAGGTTCATATATAATATTTCTATTAAACATCATTCACTTATTCGTGCATTTAATAATTAGAACCGACTATTTTCTAGCTGGTTACGACCCTTATTGAATATCGTCTTTTATAATTTTAGTTTTCCTGCTCGATATTAGTTTCGAACTGATTAGACAAGGCGACTATTATCAAATCCTCATCTTACACGTCATGGTCACTGCTTTCAATAATTTTACCTTACATTAAAGATTTTGCTTGAAAAGTTTCAGTGTCACCTGGTTGCTGAGATGGACTTTTCCTTTGAGTATAACGAACATAACGATCATGTTCAGTAAAATACCACAGAAACTGATGGCTACCAAAACACCACCCTGTAACAAAATTGTGGTTATATAATATTATTATTAACTGATGTAATTTATCTGAATGTAACCGTTTCATTTTTAGTGTGCTCGCTTCAACAACAGAAATGACCTCTGGAAATCTTAAACTATAATAGAAAATAATACAGAATTGTTAGATTATATTGAAAAATAGGGTAAAGCCGTATAGTACATACATATTACATATTACATTGCGATGAAACCTACATTGCGATCAGCAATGAAATGCCGCGCATTTATACAGGCGTACCTTTATATAGGCGCGGCATTTCATCGCAGTTTTCATCGCGATGTAATAACTAATATATATGAACTACGGCTTAAAGAATGTGTAAGGCTTGGAGTTCAATACTGAATAGTCATTTGGGTTATATAAATAACGGACATTGACGATTCGAAATGTGCATATGTTTGGAAAAACTCCTTGGATACATGAATCCTCTTTTATCTCGAACTCAGCTTTCCCCATTTGTCCTATCAAAGATAAAAACCATATGAATTGAAGTTCATTAATATACATTTTTTTGGACAAATATTTCAAAAATAATAAATCAACGTAAAACTTAAGAAAAACATAACAAACGGTAATCACATAACTTTCTAAAAGATGTCAGCAAGTTCAAAGTCGCGATGCCTAACCATCGGACAACGTACAATTTCCATTTACAGTGAATTTATGAATTTTTAAATTTTAATCGGTCTTCAAGAGTCCATTGTTCTTAAAGTTGGCAACTGCCGAGATTTCATGAAGTTGCCAATTCATTGTTTATCGGCCAACCTGAACAAGGGGTGATTTAGCAGACTGGTTCTACAGAACTCTATTTACTATTAGTTATTGTTAACGTGGAGAACATTCTAAGCATATTTGTGAGTTGATAACACACGAGAGCTCCCTTGATCATTTATAATTGTTCTAAAAGTTGGTCTTATACTTGATAGATTGTTTTTAGAACTTTTATTCAAACCAGCCTCAAAATGATAAACGGCCTTTTATTGACGAAACAGTCGATCATCCTAATTAATTAAATTCACATCAAACCAAGTTTCTGTGAAGTAGTATAATATAGTAAGTGTAACATAAAATAAAAGTCTCCACATGTCTGCTGTGTCTACATGCAGCAAGTAACCAGTGCTGCACTGTTATTCTAACTGTTATAATAACTGCATTGTATTTATCCTGAATAACGATATGACACATTAGTTTGCTAATTGGTAATTGCCCGCCCATGTCTCCCATGAATCTTATTGGACTGGACCTGTTTTTGAGTGTGGAATGCAGCTGTGAAGGAGAGTACCACGAGAGCACGTGTGAGATACAGTCAAGGTAAGACCCTCTCCGTATGAATAATATAATTAAATGTCCAATTCGACCAAAAAGCTGAACACAAAACATCAACGATAACAAAATCCGTAGGTTGCCGATAGACTGTCCCGTGGCTCCTAACCGGTGGCTTATACAATATGGTCGGTTTTTAGTCCGAGATGAACATTTTAATCCCAGCAACAAACCTATTGTTCCTCACAAAAGCTTCAGGTATGTTTCTATGTTTTTACTCTGTATGTTATCAACTTAACATTAACTGCCTTCGACGCCATTCAAGGGCACATTCAGGCCATTATACCGCCCTCACCCGCTTCAGAGCTACATTTATCTGCGGTGGATGCGGAATCACACTATTAATCTAATACCGCACTTTTTGCACCATTGACAGTTCTCTGTTCTTCATGACGTAACATTAAAAACATTGGAAAGAAGAATTATTGTTCAAAATCAAGACAAATTTTGCAGTGACTTTCAATGTTATCGATATTTAAAAAAACAAAAGAGGGTGACATTTGGCAAAATAATAAATCCTCAAGCTGTATCACAATCCCTCAACAGATTGAGATTGAGTCACTCTAGTTATGTTTGAATAATATATCCTGCAAATATTTGTAATTTTCAGCACAGAAAAGGTGCGGAATCGCACTATTTACACAATATTACCGCACCTACATAATATTGCCTCTGACCCAATTGTCTTACTATACTAGTCAGGCTGACTAAATATTATCTCCAGAGAGTTTAGGGTTACAGTGAAAAGTCCAGTAAAGAAAAGTTCCAAACAAAGAGCCACGTGTTTTGTTGACGTGGACCTACCCCAAGTTGCAAAACATTTCATGGACTGGGTGAGCTATAAACTTAGTTGTGGAATATGGCTTTAAACAACACGTGCATAAACGAAAGTTGTTGTGATCAAAGTTATGGATTTTTAATTTCCCAAGGTTTGAAAATTGAAATTAATATTTTTAGTACATAGTAGTGGCCAAGAAATTAAGCTATCTAACCAATTGTAATCTCATGACGTAGTGCTTATGAGTAATACTCATTGAGTATCCATCTCAATAACTAAAAACAGATACATCATTCAGTTAGTAAATGAGCTGGAAAGGAGTTACGGTAAGATAAAGTACCAGAGAAGACTTCACCTTGTTCTAACGAACCAGCAACGAAGCAGATTGGAGGAATCAAGTCAGGACTTTACTCAATTCAAGGTCAGTATCAGACATACGATTAGTATGAAAGCCGCTTATCAACTTAGCTGAACTTAAGTCTTAAACAGTGCCTGCGATTAAAATTAATGTTATTAATTGTGTGACACTTCGGCACGAGACTCACCGTAAATTGCTAGAAATTACAACATTATTACGCTAAAAGCCAGCGTTTCGCGGCTCTGCTATAAATATAATGACATTAAGCCTAGACATATGTAATAGCAATTTCCTCACGATGTAAAAACGGGTTTCTTTAAAGCTGGAGATTAAAAACAGCTTAGCTTAGAATCATATCAATCGAAATACGCCCATTATGGTATTAGAGTTTACATAGGCGCTATAGTACTATAATTATTATAGTAGGCGCAAAAACAGCCGATCACAATATAAAAGTGACAAGTATTCTTAGTCTATGCACGACAGCAGTTTCTTTTACGTGGTGCTTAACAACTGAAAAACGGCTCATATCATTTCGCATGCCAACAAATTATCACGTGACTTCGGTTTTTACGGTTTGCAGCCGAACAAAATGGTTTTACATGAACCAAAACACCAACTACTATAACACTTTTCCAACTGATAACTGATCACTAAACCTTCGACATCCCTTTTTAATTAAACATCTTTAACAGTGTGTAAACTTAACAAAGTAACAGTGATGCTTATCAGTAGCTACGTATACAGACATGGTACCTATAATAGACCTGGACTCTTCTATAGTATGTGATATTTGTTAATATTTGTAGTTATTTGTAGTTGACCAATATCCTCTACCGGCTCCCTCTACCTATTTATCTACTTATCAGTGAGGGCACCCACAATGGGTACAATAGATGTATTGTCCTCGTCAGCCTATACGTCCACCTGAGGCAACTCCCAATTCAACATAAGCCTGTTCAACTGATAAACACTCTTATCAGTAGACAGTAGTCAATATAACTACTACTAACTAAACACTCTGACATAATAGTATAATCGCATATAAATAACTCATAATTGGCTTTTAAGGGCGTATTACTATAATTAACTTATACTCAGGAACTAATGAATAATGGCGCGACCATGATATAACAAGGACAAAAGAAGATCGCGATTATTTAGCCCAAAAATCGCGGCGCCGCGACAAGTCAAACTAGGCAAAATCGCGGTGAATTTGCGGCGAAAGATAATGTATTTGCAGAGCTAAGTTACGGTTGAAATATTATCAAGTTAGAAAACGGTAAGAGGTACGTGGCTGGTTTTTTCGGTATAGTGCCCACAAAACACTGACGAAGCCCAAGAGCCTAAGTTTTTTAATCGTTACACGAATTATGAATTTAGGGATACACTGGTTCGTAGGATTATAGCAATGCGGCTTCTAGTGATAATAGAAAATTATTATAATTATTACGTAAGAATTATTATAAAAGTTATGTTTATATAGAAACAAGGAGAGTAACTTACATATTGAGGCACTTTCCTAATTGTACCTATCGAGAATGAATCGGACCGAAAATTTTCTAAATAGAAATTATTTTCAAAGTTTTTTTGGAAACTACTTTTGTTCATGTTTCATGCTACCCTGATCATACCGAAAAATACTTTTTCGGTCCGTACCTACATTCGGAAGGCTGTGGATGTGATTAGTTCCATATAATTATAAAGAACGTGATATTTGGCCCTCGGATTTAAAGGATAATGCGCAAATTTGATCCTCAGAGAACTGGAATAATCGCGAGGATCTGAGAAAATTTGACCTTATGATATAATCAGAACATCTATCATCTATGATACCTATAACCTAAGATCCTCCTTTTTTGCCACTCAATCATAAGATGTGCTGCAATGGATCTACCTTATCGGCCATAATTATCACGGACATTACGTTCACGCTGAAGACGTCTGATCTTAGCGTGAATAATTATGTCCGTGATGATAATGTCTGTGGCATCAAGGTCCGTGAATAATAAAGTCCGGTAAATATTTCCATTAATTTTAGTGTGCGTGTCCATACAGATGCGTAGATATGAGTGTAGCTGATTACTAAATTAGCTTATTAATATACTAGGACAAATATAATCACTCCTCAGTCACATTCTAGAGTTCAGAAAAAGAGTAAAACAGTTATTAAAAAATCACCAAAAATGTTTACAGTTTTTTGGAAATTTTTTGGCGGCCATGAGCGTGAATAATTATGTCCGTTAAAAATTCGGTCCGTGAAAAGTTGTCCATGATATTGATAATTATGACCGATAAGGTATACAATACTAGCTAAAAGAAGCTACGAGGAGCAGGCAGCAGGCAGGAACGACGCCACAGTAACAGTACCATCATATCAATAAGGAAAATGGACAGGTGCGATACCATCCTACTTGTTGGGCTGCTGAGCAACATTTAGTTTAAATACATATTCATTGATAGAGGATCATATCATAGGAGTAGGACTACAATGCTATTAATATTCACTATCATGGCTAGAGGTTACATGGTGTCGGTGAATATCAATAGCAAATTCTCCCAACTGATTTGAATCTTTAAAAGTTCTTGATTCATGTTATTCAAAAGAAAGCCAATCAAGATTTCCATATTTCCGATTACCTCTAGATCACCGTCTCTTCTAACTAGTGGAGTGTATGGGTGGGGTGTGTTGCACCTTTGTGGAGCCTTTATATATATAGCTTGGTTCTAAACGGGCAGTGTTAAGAGTGTCAGTAAAACAATTGTCTCAGATGTCTAATGGATGTGAATTACTTTCTTTTGTCTTTGTGAAGCAAGCCAAATATCAGAAAGCTGATTGATTAATTTAGTATTGTGTCAGCCATTGTCTCATGAAGGATCATGTGATTAAAGAGAGTGGCCTATAATCTTCACGTGTGGCTTCAATATATACAATACTTATCAAGGTTCGGGGCATTTCGGCTAGGGAAATTGCAATAAGAAGAGTTTCGATCAAATCACTGTTTGACCCAAAGCTGAAGACGGTAACGTTACAATTAGTATGTGCTGAAACTAATGTTTATTTTCTTATGAAATGTTTATTTAAATCGAGGCTTTCGGTTTCAATGAGTTAGAAAAATATAAAATGGTCGCTTCATTCATATCATATTTCACGCACTCGCTATTAAAGCCGCATACAACACAAAATACAAATACTAATAACAGCATAATATTGTAGATTAGTCCTTGTCTACACTGAGAATCTTGTCTATCAAAATAGTGTTACACTTACAGTATTAGACGTAATGTTGGCAAACAGTCTAAACTCTACAAAGGGCACCACATAGAACTGCCACCATTTTCGTCGCTATTATCATATTTCAAGTGACCGACCAAACCGGTACACGAACTCTGGTTCGAAACGTTCTGTAGTTCGACAAACACTAAAGTTCGACTCTGTTGAACTAGAGTTCGCTACCTGGACTCTATTTGGACAGCTACCTGAGTTCGATAGGATCTATAGTAAGGTAGGTCAAATGTATAATCAATTTCGCTATTATCGATGATCAAGGGAGCTCTCAGTTATTATAAGCTGTAGTAAAAACATACTCCAAGTCTACAGGTCACGTTTTCTGTAGAGTTCCATATAATTAATCTCTCAAGCCTCCTCTTACACAAGTTGAACTGAGGCATTGTTTGTAAATGCGCAGCTCTACAAACCTGGCAGACAAACCTGGCAGACAAACCTGGCAGACAATCCTGGCAGACTCGTGTTATAGCCACAACTATTGAATTTGAAAACTTCAACAACAACAGGCTCCCAGACAGGGGTGTAGGAAGCGGGGGGGGGGGGACAGGCTCCCAGACAAGGGTGTAGGAAGGGACAGACACCCTGCTCTCGTGAAAATCTTCTCAGAACTCTCATTGTTTATAGAGGTTCGACTGTTATACATCCTTATATACTCTTATAGAGCGGTTCCTAACCGGTTCTAGAGCAATAGTTGGTACATTCGACTGATACCGATCACAACAAACTCAGGGCACAGCAAGATTCATATTATCAAATTATTTAAATATAGATGTAAGAAGTGCGTAGGAAAATGGTGAAACACGCGAGTGATGAGGTGTAATAGTCGGAGTTCAGGGTAAACGGACTTTATACACGCTAGATTGAGACATTGACACATGATGCGTCGCGTTCATTTCACACAGGATGAAACACAAAACTGACTCATTAGAATAATTAAAATAATTAGAATAAAATGCAGCCACCCCGCAGGGAGATGGATGGTGAGATATGTTCAGGAGACCACAGTTAGAAATTCCGTTCGTATCAGTGACAAAACCTTTTTATTTACGCTAAGTCACTCAAAGGCCGAATCTTGATTTTTACCGGTCTAGAGCGGTGGTTGTTGTTTGACTGATAAGATAGTTATCACAACAAACTCAGGGTACAGTACGATCCATCCTGCTGGTCCGAGAAAGGAAGGATGTGAACGTGAAAATAGAGGGTTTAAAGAACAGTCTAATAATTTGGAGCAAGGATCTCAGACCTACTGCTGACACTACTGTCCATGTTCAGGTTAATCCACATTCCACTGACATACATTTTTTGTTGTTGCAAACTTTAACTCGTATTACACTGAAATATTGACGACGAACCAACTCAAATTGCATTGGAAAATTGTCTCTACTCTCTGAGACTGAATTGGGAAAGAATTCAAAAAATACCGGTAAAATAATGTTTTGCAGTAAACAAAAATAACTGATAACTTTCCAGCAGGCAACAACAACTCAGCTGGCGATACATCGTTTTAAAAAACAGTGTTACGTAGGGGGGTTTCTCATTTTGTTGTTTTGCGTTGTAATTCCCACTATTCTTTACTTTTCTGAGAAGTTCAAAGTATTCAAGTTTCCGGATTGATTTGGTTTTTTTAAAACAAGAAAATATAGCGAAGTTGCGATTCAGTCTGATTTGAAATCTATATTGTATTTTAATTTTTGTAAATACGTTCCATTGAATCCTTTATTGAGCTCTATCAGTCTATCAGAACATAAGTAAATGGAAAGCATTTTGGAAAACAGTTTATTAGTAAATTAATCTCAAAACGCTGCCCTCTAAACCCCTCTCAATTTTAAAATCCCTCTGAACCCCTCTAAAACCCCTCTGAACCCCCTGAAATAACACAGCGATGGTAGTAGAAGTTCAGTTAACTGATCAGGGTGGGAGTGAGATACCATTGGTGGGATCCTCTGACGTCACGATAGGCTTGATAGTGAACTGTGGGTGTCTGGGTTCAGAGCACAGGGTGTCATGTGACCTAGTCACCAGACTTCCTGTTCCCACTAATGCTAAACCTGGCAAACTCTTTGTTCAGATAGGTGGGGATATTTATAGCATCAGTTAATTAATTGTTATTTGTTTTTTTGTGGTATGAGATGATGTTTGTTAATAAGAATTTGCTTTATTTGTCACAGAAGTCAAATCTTAATTTCTTTTAACATTAAGGTCTCAATATGGTGATAATTTATCTGGATAGATTGAGAGTTGAGATGTTTCAGTGATTTTTCTGCAGGAACAATTAAGAATGTAAAGGACCCGAATGGAATCTTCTCGATAAAATTTCCAGTTTGTTATCAGTTCAACATTATGGTCCAGTCACCGCTTTATAACAAGGTTTGTTAATTGTTATGACTATTGAAAGTAAAGCTATCAAAGATAATAAACGTCCACCCTACGGGCCAAAGTAGTGGTTAGTGTTAAAATCATTTGGTTCCAAGCCTTTATTTGTATACTTAGTACTCATATCCATATTTTAAATTTCATACTGTATCTCGATTTTACGTTCTTGGATAAGACAAACTCGATAAGACAAACAAAATCTAAAATATCGAACAATAACTAAATAGTTTCGAATTCCCAAACTTCTCCTTTGACAAACTCCTCACCACGACACATCCTGTCCACTCTCCAGTAGTAATTCTTCCCACCCTCCACCTTCTTCTTCAAATACACCACGTTGCCCCCAGTAACCGTCCCCAGGAACGTCTTGCCCCTCCTACCTGCACGTGATACCGCGCTCTTCTTGGTCCCCATGTACACATCGTGTGTGTCACACTCGTAACTATTGAGCCACATGAGGGCGTCCCGGTGTGCCGCTATCACCTTGGTTGCTTGGTGTGGTGGCACTGGGGAGGAGGCTGTGCTCAGCTGTCTGCCGGGTATCCAGTAGATGGTGGCAGTAGGGTTGTAAGGATATGGGCCTACCGATATATCGCTGGTCAGTGGTCGGAAATCGTTATTATCTGCGTCATGCAGCTTTGTCTTGATGTTCGGATCTATCACATTCTCTCTAATATACGATCCAGCCAGGTCTCTAACAGAAACAGGGTGCACCAACTCCCCTGTGTTAAAGTTAAACACTTTCCCTCCATTAGCTACATCCACCACGTTACCGACTACCCTGGAATAACGGTTAATTTCACCTGGGTTCGCTCTCACATACTTCCAAACACACAGAGAGCAATCGTTGACAGGCCGGGGTGTGCCGTCTTGGGTATCAAATGCCAAGTTGTTGAGTGCAGTGTGGTGGTATCCTTTCATTTGAACACCTCCCGCTACAAGCCTGAAGAGGACGTTGTTAGAGATAGTTCCATGTAGCCCAACTCTAGGAGGTTGTCCATCAAACCTTCTACCTTATTTAGGATAGTCTTGCACCCAATTGTGGTTAATGTGAGAGTTGGGCTGTCTGGTTGTTGTGAGGTGTATCCCAGAGCCGTCGTTCTGCTGTAGGACCCAGCATTGCACGATCACCCGGTTTAACTTCACAGTTGGCTGGAATCCTGGTCTTATTCCGGATGACAGTGTCGTTACGGCTTAGAGCCTCGGTTGTGGCGTGTCCACCGTCCCCTACCAAGCTGTTGGCTGAGGTGCAATCGTTATACGAGAACAGGTTATTCTCCAATCTGATTTGGGCAGCGGTGTACGAAAGTGGGACACCATCAGCTCCATGGAACACGTTATTCAGGAAGGTAAAACTGCCAGAGTTTGTTTTTGGACCTCCTCCAGACTTTCTGCCATCAATATTGGTACATTGTGTAACCTTGTTGTCTAGCAGCATCCTTTTAGATGCACATGGATAGTTGAAGTTTAGATAATCAAGTTTGATGTCGTTGACACACGTACCTTCATCAAAAGAGGGGATCGCCTGTAGAAAAAGTCAAGGTCTTTCAGTACAACATGTTGACTGTCTTTGATTGTAAGAGCATACGTTTGAACCTTATCTCGAAGCTGAGTGGTTGGTGAAATATCAGCATCCTTTGGAGGTATGAAGTAGAGCATGGCGGTTGAATTATCAAAAAACCATTCTTCAGGTGAATCCAGGAGCTCAAACTTGTCTTCGATAAAATACCGTCCCAGTCTCAGGTTAAACTTAATCTTCCCGAAGGTGTCATCGTATGTGAAGTAGTTCTGCCCTGCTTCTTGGTGGTCCACTTTAGCTACAAAGGTGTTCCAGGACCCAATGTTTAACACAGCCATAGCTCCTGTCATGTCCTTTCCACTCTCCTGCAAACTTGTCCCATCATTTACTCTCTTTCCTCTTGTTGACGTCATGGAAGTCCTTTCCCAATGGTTTTCTCCATCAAAGACTGTTTTTTTTTTCAGACCAGTTGGCATCCGGCCATCTTGCATTAGTCATCATTAAATCATCAAAGAAGAGTTGCCATATCTGTTGTGTTATTTTTCCGTAATAGATGTCTCCGTCTACTTTCCAAGAGCCACCAACTGGAGTGATGTCGACAGTACCGTCAAAAGTTGGTCTTTCTCCAGGGACTCCCCTAATGACGATGGGATTTTCTTTGGTCCCTCGAAGGCCTGAAACAGTGATGTCCTCTCGATATGAAATTCGTCTCCTGGGTTTTTAAGAGCCTTTACGCAGTCAGAAACTGTTTCAAAAGGAGAAGATGAACTGCCATCTCTTGTTGAGGACACATCTTTGTTGGATTGGTGTAGAAAATAGCAGAGTGAGAGTACGTTATAAAGTTCAGAAAAACTACAAAACGCAAAGAGTTGAACATGTCTTAGCGCTAAGGATACCTTTAACTTTTTTGCAAAGTATAGAATGTTCTGAGACTGAGTTTTCCTCATAGCCACCAGCTTTTAAAGGATATTGCTTGCTGATATTGCACCTTGTGCCGCCGAGATGTGAAATTTCCTAGAATAATTCGTTATAATCCAGTTGCAAAGGTCGAATTCATTATTTAAAACACTTTCCTCAGCATGTGAAACAAGTTTATTTTCCAGCCTGTAATCGAAATTTGTGAGATTTTACTTAACTTCGACAACTCAATTATCACATTGTAAGTTTTGATAAAACACCTGATCACATGACACCTAGATTGTAAAACTGAGCTTTTGTTGATTAAATGAATGTTTAATCAATAATTTAATCATGGTAATTCACTAACTCCCAACTCGAGTCGTATGCTTTCTGAACATTCTGAGCTGTTATCCAGACTTGTGGTATTTCGTTTCTCTACCCCGCCTACATTTTTCATTACTTCTACAACTTAATTATAATATATATTGATACATCAAATTAACTCCAAACTTGTATACTTTTAGGACAGACGATGTCAACCCTTCCAGATCGTTGCTCTGCTTCGCAGAGCAACGATCTTGTCTTTTCGATGCGAAGCAAGAATGCTAGTTTGCGCGGCGCGTCGAAGCGGCAAAGTCTCCAAGTATTTTTTACTACTTCAACAACTCAATTATATATTTATTGTAAAACTTATAAAACAATAAAATCACAGGTGGATAGTTACGGTGAGAGTCTAGCATACAGTCACGTAGTGCTACCACACTACGCCAACATGTTCGTCAAACAGGTAAGTGGTAATTAGTGAGCTGTGGCAATTAGTGGTAATTAGTGAGCCGAAACACGGACTTTAGCTGGAATTATTAAATTAAAAAATAATGAACACGAAATAAAAGATAAATGATAAAAAAATACAGCTCGTGTATTTAATTAACCGATTTTCAATGTTTTGCACACAAAACTATACTTAAGCCTTAAACATTTTCAGTTCATAGACAAAATAACAAAAAAGTACAAGCAAGACATCGAGTACCACAAAAACTGTAAACTGTTTGTTGCTGATAACGCGTGTAGAGTAAAACGGGCCTACCATTGTGAACCATTCTCTCTAAGGGTTGGAGGCTTTTGCGCGGTGGAAAGATCGGACGATTTCACTGTTGATTTTATGAATAAAAGGTAGGAAACTGGGGGACGTGCTACTAAATTTGTTAAAGTTATACTTTCGAATGATTATCTTGAAATTGAACGTTTTAACTAGAATCTCACGAAATTCGAAATATGCATAACAATTAACAGACAAAAGTGAACTCCCATGATAATAACACATGTTATTGTCTTAAGTATATTTTACTCTGGCCATGGCAACGACCAAGGTTCTATTTAGGATAAGGTTCGAAACAAGCTAAAGTCGAAGGCTGATTTTGATATACGTTGAACTAAAAAATTACCACGATCATTATCGCAATGTTATCGTCTGTAGTTACTATTTACTATGGCAAATACGATTTAAAACGGTTTTAAAGAATCGATATAATCATAATCGATTTTTGATAATCGCTTAGTGAAAATGTTTGGATCGATTATGATAGATAATGATTCTTTAAAAACTGTTAATCGCAGGTGCTTTTACTGTTTAATAGATCTTTAGTTATCAGATTGTAATCTTAAGGCTTAGTTGTTAGTAAAGACTACAAGTAAAACTCAAACAAATAATACCCATAATATTCTGCGCTCTAATTCAAGATGGGCAATATTCTGCAGAATATTACCGCAGTCACTGCCTTTGAAATTTTATTCTTGTTAATTCTCCCTACCAATCGTCGGGGATCGTACACCAAATCGGCGTTCATTAGTGCATTATTATCTCATTATCTTTAACGGCCGGTGATACTCGTAAAATATTTGTTTCAAGACCGTCGACGAATCCAACTCGGCAAGCGTTTTGGTAGGTTATAAACCTACAACATTATCTAAGAGCTGACTGGCAACTAACCCCGCTACTTTTGGGTTGCTCAATGCTCTCTCTGAGGTGCCAGCTGTTTCATAATGGGGGGTGGGGTTCAGTTCAAGTACCACAAGCTGTTGTGGACCAGATATTTGTAGCTCCTTCTGGCCTCAGGTCTGGCGGGGCCTGGGGCCATCTCCATGTATCCAGGAACAATATATTTTATATATTTTACGCTGCACATGGAAAAAATAAAATAAAATTGCTATCGTGGCATAAAATGATATTATTAAACTTTTAAATATTTTAATGCATTTGAAAAATTTTAATCATGAGTTGATCGAAACGAAAAAGACGTCAGTGCTCACCTCAACCACGTAGCCAGTTTACTCCCTAACCTCATTTCTGAATTTACTCTATTTGGGTCAATACTTTATATACTGTCCAGGAAGTCCCTGTGGACACACAGTCTGACAGCGGTGGACGGAGCGGAACTAAACATGAAGTTGTGGGAGAGAAACTCAGCCTACCACCGGGCTAAGCAGATAGTAAGAAGGTTCTTGTGGGTTGTGGTGGTGGTGGGGGTGTTAGTTCCTCTTGCTGTTCATAATATGAGAGTAAGTCATGCGATACTGACTTGGGTTATTAACTATTATAACTATTATATTAACTATTAAGCTCGCGTAATTTGTATCTTTAAAAGTTTAAATCATACCGCCACATTTTCGCAGCCCTTAATTATGACATAATTATGTTAATATTTAATAATATTTGTTATAAAGATTCCATAATCGGAATCCAAAAATCGCTCGATCCAATTCCAAAGTCTGATTCCAAAGAGCTGAGCTCAATAACTATTTAAACTAACTGTCATGAAGATGTAACTAGGTGAGACCGATCTATTAGTCGTTACCAGTGCGCGGGGGGGTATACTTACCTGTAGTCTACAAGTAGAGACGGGAACTGGCAACGACTAATCTCGGTCTCACCTATCAGCTCGGTCTCACCTAGTTACATCTTCATGACAGTAAGACCGTTAACTACTGCGTGTATACTTATAGGCCTGTATCCCAATTCCCACTACCTGCAGGACCACGATGCGGAGTGTATAAAGAGGTGTTGTCAGGAGGACGTGAACTGCGTGGCTGTCAGGAAGCACTGGTCTGGAATCATGGAGGAGGTGGCCATCAACGCGAGCTCTATGTTCACCAACTTCACCTCTGTTTTCAGTCTTAAGGACTTTGTTAAGAAATCGTGACCTTTATTACTTTATTACAAAAACTCGATAACTGGAGTTTTGAGCCTAATATAAGTACCTCAAAAATTGGAATATTTAAGCCTACTGATACGTCAAGAACTGTCATGTATGTTTATTTCAAAATTCAATTATTGTAATGAATAGTGCAGGAAGTAGGAACCTGGACACTCCATATCTTTCTCTCATCTCCAGCTTTTACTACATCGTATAAAGGAGTGACAATTCTGAAAAACCAAGTGACTTTTTCACTTTTCAGATCCACGTAGCCTTGACTATATAGTGTAGCGACTTGTTTTCTTATTACGTAGGCAAATAATTGTCATGTCAGTCGGCTATCATTGTTAATATTGTGTAACAACAAGTCAAACAAAGAAAGGACACGTTTATTTGGTTATGTAATTAGAAAAGTAGAAATTGTGGAACTGAGTAATAAATTTACAATTTACAATAAATTATATTAACAAAAATAATTCGCCAAAAACATTTAAACGTAAAACGTATACAAGTTATAAAACAGGATTGTTTAAGTTTGATCTGAAATTTTTAAGATTAATGAAAGCTATATATGATTTAACTTAACTGAACGAAAATAATATTTTTGGTAAGCATTTATCGACTAAACTTAAAAATGTGTCCAGCTATTGAATGAAGTTAGACCAATAGCTGCTATTTACAGTAAAATTTCCGTTTGAATGAACTGAAAACTTAATTTTTTGTTATAAAAATGTAATCTCATCTTACTAACTTAGGTATTCTAAAATTATATGAAAATTGCAACACGAAAACGCTTTCCGGGAAAAAACAAAAGTACCAAATATAAATAATCACTCCTCGCTACCAACAATAGTTTTTGCATTTCTAACAATTCGGGCAACTTGAGTAGATGAAAAGTTAGATTCAACTAGCCGCTGGTCCCCAAAATCGGAGGGTTGTTGGCCGTCTCCTCCACGGTTATTTGTAGTCGGTTTAACTAATTGTTTGGGAACGTTGATGCAGTTAGAGTTGATGGGACCAACTGTCGACCTGAGATAGTATTGAAATTTATTTAGATATGAAATTAGCGCTAACATTTATACATTATGACGTACTCAAGTAAGGATAACAAAACATTTTGGTCTTATAAGTTAAGTTGTCAATTGTGCACATTTTACATCTTGTGTGATAGTTTGTATCATATGACAAGTTGTGAGATTTGCTTATTTTTAACAGAGATGTAAATATGTTACATATTAATTGTATTCTATCTTTCAGAAGACTTTTTAAAGAACGAACTCCTATTTCTTATTGTAATAGACCCTCGATTTACCGGGCCCTGCAAATAAGCGGTTCTTTGTTGACTAATGTATGACGTACCTAATTGCCTAATTACCTAATTACCTTAAAGTTTACCGGGTAATTTTCATTTTCTACAAATCAAGGGCCTACTACATCCACAAAATACAGAACTAAAAACATCCAAACCTGGTACTAGAAGCAGTTCTTGAAGAATTTGGTGATTTTGAAAGAGAGGCTTTGTAGAGGCTGAGTTTCTCAGTTCGGTCCTTGTCAACACGTCTAAAAGCCTTCCTCATGACCCTCTGGACGGATTGTTTCACTTCACTCTCCACCTGACTTGAGGGCTTCTCTTCTTCTGAGGAAGAGGAGCTGGACATGGAGTCCACACAAACAGTCACTACCCTTCTCATCTTAACTGGTATTTGGGGGGTGATCTCCAGGAAGCCGGACTCGTCTTGCATAGTGTCCGGGGAGATGGGGTTACTATTAGTAGTTGGAGAGGCCATGGCGTCTAGTTGAGGAGACTCTTTAATTAGAGTTACTGGCTCAACTTCCTCGGGGTCCTCTACTGGAGTCACTTTCTCTGGGGATAGGTCTGAACTCTCTACAGACGAATAATCTGAATCGTTCCTGTAACCGCTCGATATTAAAACCAGCTTCTTTTCCTGAGTTTTTACCAGTTGCTCGGGAGTTTTAGGTTCCACTTCATCGTCATTATAACTTATATCATTGTAGCTTATATCTGGGTTAGCAACAGTCAGCCAATCTTCTTCTGGGACAGAGGAAAGGGTTTCGGAGTAAGATATACTGAAATTGTATTGAGTCCTCTCTGGTGAACAATGTTCAGTATCCTCTTCAAAAATCGTTGCAATTTTGCCCCCTCCCTCAAGCTTGATTGGGATTGGAGTAGGCATCTTGAGTCGTTTACTAAGAGGAAGGGGACTAGGCGAGACTTCATAAACGTCAGGCTCTACAGACAAACAGTCTCTTTTGAATCGTTTAGACTGCACATTCAGTGTAGGTGACGCAGTTGGAGATCGTTTTGAGGAAGAGAGCAGTGGAGATTGGTCTTCAACACTGGGTGGGGTAACCACAGGTAATCTAACTACAGGAGATAAGAACTCTGCCTGGCATTCTTTATCCTCTGATGTCACACAGCAGTTCACACTTCTATCTACCAACTCAGTGGGACTGTTCACTGTTGAGTCAGGAGTGGGAGCTTGAACTGGACTCAGGACATCATTTTGACATGCCACGTCTTGAACACTGATTACTGTCTCTGTTTGGGCATCAACAGTGTCCTGAGAGATCAAGCTCTTGAGTATCTCCAGCTCCTCCTCCAGATCCTGTACCTTAACCTCGGAGGTCTGCAAGTTTTCCACAAGTGAGCTGTTCTCCTTCTCCTTCTCACTGACTACTGATTGAACCAGTTTTACTTGAACTTGCAACCTGAACACCCTCTCCTCTAGCTGTGCTATCTTCTCCGCACAATCTGCTCTCTCCACAAGAAACACCTCAGACAGCTCTCTAGCTGACATTTTAGCTGTCTCCAACAACTTCACCGTTTGTTCCATCTCTGATGTCTTCTGGTCCAACTGCTCCCTCAATAATGATACCAACTTGTTGTCTTCCGGAGAGATCTCCTCCACTTTTGCGGGGAGGTTGACCACAGGAATCTTCAACTGAGCCGCCTTAAGTTTAACTATAGTTGTGTTCCTTTCTTTCATCTGGGTTTGGAGATCGCTGATGATGCAGCTGGAGTGACAGTTTAAGAACTTTAACTTCTTCTGGGTGGTCAGGACGTTGCTGTAGTTTCCCTCAACAGCTAAAATGCTGTTTGACAACGAGGAGTAACTCTTGTTTAACTCTGAGAAATTGTTAATAGGTTAAAATAGCTCTCCAAGCTTAGGAATCATATTTCTATAATATCTTAACTGTGATTAATCAAAAATCTAAATTCTATTATTCAAGAAAGTAGTCAAAAACCCACCATTAAACTTATTCTGCAGAATTTCAATCTTCTCCAGACAGGCCTCCTTGCCCTGGCAGTGCACTGAGAGCTTGGCCTCCATCTCACAGGCCTTACTCTGAGCCGACACCTTATCTTTATTACATTTAACCAGATCACCACGGATCACCCTGTTTTCCTCCTTGAGCACCTCGTATTTCAACTTTGTCTGTTCCTGCTCTGAGACAGACTGGTGGTATTTCCTCTCTAGGTCCTGAAAGACGAGGATTTTTAGTTTAATTTCGTACTTATAAAGTTTTAAATTATCTAATAGTGTAAAATTTAACCCAGCATAATAAGTTTACCGTATTTTGCGTACTACATTGCATTAAACGTTTTGAAGAATTTTTTCAACCGAATTCAACCAGAGGCTAAGAGGCTTGATCAAGTTTGAACTTTTGGTGTTTTGACATTTGAAACATATAAGTGATACGACAGGTTCATAGTTCTAACCTTATAATAGCTAAGCGATTTAAACACGAAAATTTCCCACAGCGAGTTGTATTATTATACTTTAAAAACAGAAAAATACGAAATCCTATAATGTTTCCTTACTATTGAATGCAATTTTACCAGTAGCTGATTTTGATCTTAGCATTGCAGAATCCCTGTAAATTGTTTGAGGGCTCACTGCCATAAAAGTACCACGTCTTTTACCCATCCCAGTCATGTTCGCCTCATTCTTAATCCTCTGTACCGGAGTCACCTTGATACGGAGCTTCATCGACAGTTCCTCTGGAGCATTTCTTGCAACTAAACCGAGCTTTCTGGCCCAGGAGAAATATCTCAGAGCTTTAGGAGTGAATGCGAGGAAGATAACTGGGTTGAGAGCTGAAAGCGCTGTTGGGAGAAGGTAGCCAAAGGAAAAGTTCATCCATGCTTCACACAAGCTATTCACAGCTATATCACCATTGTTCAGTATGGTTTTGGTTGGCTTCAACTGCAAAATGAATGAGGTTGTGTGGTAGATAACAAATAGAAGGCTACCACAATTAGTGGCAATGATTTTAACCGTGCCTCTTTTAGTCGCTTGTCCAGGTTTCGCCCCTATACGAACACCTTGCCGTTTGGAAATCTCACTTATAGTCAGCACAGAAGCAACCAGTCCGAAAACCTGGAACAAGAATGGAACCATGAACACTAAAGTGATTTGAAGTAGCCTGCTGTGATGCCGCAAGTTCTGGTAGATATTGAACGCGTTGTCAGTCCAAGCTGCCATGATCTGAACAACCCATACCGCAGAACGACCAGAGAAAAATAAACTGTAGACTTGCAGAAACACAGACACAAGTAAACCTACAACGAGAAAGACTGCCACTCTTCCGATAGTGAGTTTCTTGAACGGATACACGATCTGAACCCACCTACAGATCGCCATGACACTGGTGACCAGTAGGGAGGAGATTAAAAGAGCCAGTACTACTACCGACCTGACCTTCTCATACACTGACACGTGCAACTTTATACAGTTCCAGGGATCTGGGCCAGCACACCTGTACTGGTCTGGGAGAAGCTCAGGATGAGGCTCACTGTGGAGTGATGTGGTGAAGATATGGACAGGGAGGAGCACACATGTTGTTAGATCCACAACGGAGAGGATCCGGAAGAGGAAGCTGGCTACAGAGGGGGGTCGGGAGGTGCTGTAACGGTAGACGAGTGGGTTGAGGGTTATGGAGATGATGGTACTGACGGTGATGAGCAGGATGGAAAGGATCTCTGGTGGCGTAGTTTCTCCGTCATTGAAATTTAACATGGTGCAAATGCAATATAGGATCCTACTGTGCACTGTGCAGGAGTGGACAATAGTTAACAAATCGTACTTATCAATTTCACACCATTACAATCGTAGTCATGTCGATAAAAAATGTAAAAAAGTCAAGTTAACCTATTCCCGAAACCGGGAGAATGATAATAAATAACGAAAGCTGAACCCAGAACTAACGACTATAATATAAAACAAAGAGTTAAGAAGGTCTTTTAAGCTACCTAACGTTTGATCAGCAAAGATCAAATTACAATTTATTAATGGCTTAAAGATTATCACATCTACATGACGTATTAGCGCCATTAATCGCCAATTTATTACAGTATTACTTTGCTGACACCCAGTTCTTCCTTAATTATTTTCAGTGTTATTAAGTAAGTAAGTACATACAGACCGAGGAGAACGTTGAACAACACTGAGGCCGCGAAGGCAAAGTGCCTACGGACGTATAAGACCAGGGGGACTCGACACCAATAGTGCAGAGCAAGAGTTATTAAAAACAGCACTCAGACTATCAGACCACTTCAGTACACTTCAGTACATCTTAATTGCATTAAACTGTGCCACTGCCAACTTAGTTTATATAAGTATATAGCATACAAGTTCATGTATGAGAGAGGGTTGAGGAATAGTTATTGGTTAACTATGTGTAAAACTGATAACGGAATGGAGGGGGGGGGGGCCGTGCCCGTAAAACTAAAAAAGTCCCAAAAGTGATTACGTAATATGTGAACGACCCCTTAATCGCTAATTTATTACTTTGCTCATGACTTAGCTTAATCCCAGTTCTTACTTAATTATTTTTAACGTTGAACAACGGAGTGCCTACGGACGTATAAAGCCATAGGGACCATTAAAGCCATAGGGACCATTTTAGTAATCACTATATAGTATATAATAAGTTGACTAAGCATAAGGAATTTAAATAAGTTAATAAATAAGTTAATACTATTATCCGTCTACTGCGTCGTTTTCAGTAGTTCAACTCGTATGAATATATTATTTAACCAATTTTTATTGGGAGTGAACTTACATATAATCTAATACTTCCGGCCTAGTTTGAGATTATGTGAGCATATAAAGAATAGGCCGTACCTAATAATACTAATATATCGTACCGATTAGTGATTTATTTTCTACCATAAAGATTAAAGCTAGACAGGAGGCTCAATAGCATGACCGATCACCTCCTATCACGAATCGTAAGGTTGTGCGAACTTCGCTTCATAAGACTACTTCAGTGCATCTTAATTGCATTAAGCTGTGCCAATCTCATTTAGGTTTATAGCAATAGCATATATAGTTCATGTATGAGGGAGGGTTGAGGAATGATTATAAACAAACATGATTATAAACATGAGTAACATTAACAATAATCAAGTATAGAAATCCCGACGGCAAGCAGGCCTCAGACACAAAGTATAGGGCGGGTGATACTCGTAAAATATTTGTTCCAAATATTGACGTCGACGAGTTCAACTCGGCGCGCGTCTTGGTAGGTTATTAACCTACAAAGCATATATAATATGGTCGTTCCATGCAGTTGACCAGAACACTGTGTAAAATACATTGTAAGGTTTCACACTGTAGAATCCCTGCTAGAGCTTCAGAGAATTAGACCAACTATAAAACGATTCTGCTAAGGACTGTAACGTCAAATGTCGTACAAATATGTTACTGTTAGAAACATCCTACTCCTAAGGTTATTAAGTGTTACAAAAATAAAATATGCTTTTTATTCTCGAGTTCATCACTGCTGCTATCTAATTGTAAGTAAATTAATATATTTATTCCCTAATTATCTAATAACTCCCTAATTATTGTCATGTTTTGGACTTGAGACGTTGAGGGGTACTGACATGAACATTTTTTAACACAATTATGTCCGCCCGACCTAATAGGTCCAACGTGTCATAACAAAAAAACCTACTTGTAGCTAGTGGTCTCCTGAACTCGTATAGGAATTTTCATCCAGATTAGACTAAAAATGACTGAGTTATGAGCCAAAACCCATATATTTGGGCATGTGTACCAAATTTGATAGATTTTGGCCCATAAATTGGTCAAATATCAATATTTTTGAATGAAACTAACTTTATATGAAAGGTACATATAAATAAGCCTAAATTTTATATTCCCTGTGAGGTATAGCTTTATGTCATGAACATGTAATTAGGTCCGACGGACCTAATTACATGTTCATGTCAGGTACATTGCGAGATGGTTTTGTCTATATGCAGAAAAAATTGAGTTTGAAGCCGGACGGTGGTCAAGTTATTAATTCGTTTATATAGCCCTTGTTAATACGTCGATTATAATCTGCCAGAATTCAATTCCCGAATGCTCGACTGACTGACAATGTTTCTTCTTTTTCCCCATTTAGAATACAAAGATTAGTACATTTTAGCTTATGATTAATATTATATTTTTACCTATAGTTTACCTAGATCTAGAGTAAAAGGAAATATGTAGTGAGTAAAAATGAAATTATTATATTTCAAAGGAAAAACCTCGTAATTTGGGACTTCATGGACATCTTCACTTCCTTTTACAGTTCTTAATGATTCCTGAAATCATTTTTAACTATCAGATTTTTGATAAAAATGGTAAGGGGTTGCAGGAGAAGAAGTGAGTAAAAAAGGATAGGAGAGAGGCGATGAGGGCAAAATGAGGTAATGACCAATTTTATACGTCCGAGGGACAACAACAACATGGCGAGCCTAGCATAAGCAAGCTAGAAACGAGGGGGCCGGGCCGATGCGGTGCGGCCACGATCCTTTCGGTATACAACAGAAGGACGGGCTTTTTGCAAACAATCACTAAACAGTAAACAGGTTCTTACAATTTTTAAGATATCTGTAGTCTGCTGATTTCGAGCATCCTCCAAGTCCTTTGCAATATGCTCGTTTACATTCTGAAAAATTATTGAGACTCTAAGTCACTTTAAAGATTAACAATCAATTTAACTGTGGTTCAGAACTCACTCTATGATCTATCCCAGCTAACCCCCCAGGTTGATGTTCCAATTTAGTCAAATGTTAGTCTATCATAATTTAAGCTCATGGACAAATTTGAAGCCGCGCATGTCACGGTGAATGTGAAAAACGCGCTTTTTACATAATATGTCTATTGCGCGCTACAACTAAATTAAGCTTGAATATTGTGACTTGTGGCAATGAGGGGTATAAAAATCCAGCTTTTAATCTCAAATTACCCGTTGCATCTTTGTTTCTTCCACATGCTGAAACGATTTTAAATTATCAATCAACGGCTCACCATAGTAATCTCATTTAGGAAAAACTCAATGAACTTCTTCAAAACGACCGATGAGAAAAGCATTCATAAAATGCAATAGAAAATATCTAAGTAAGCTGCGTGCTACCTCCAAAAGTCGGTCCACCAGAAGAACGAAGCTACCGTAGGTAAAGCAGTTCTCTAAAGGAGCCAGTTTAGTTGAAGGAGCCAGTGTTTCAGCAGGAGCCAGAATATCTGGGAGAGTCTGTAATATTGCCGGCTCTGTCATTACTAAATACTTGGTATTGTTAGTTTCATGTTTAGATTGGCATCCCTGTCACGGAATGAATTATTATACATACATATTGTATATACATATTGTATTAGCTACAGTGACGATCATATAATGAGTGATGGCAACCAGGTCCTAAAAATTCAAATTATTATTCGAGTTTAGTTTAATGTCTATATCAAGATCATTATTGAGTAAGGACTAAGGAGTAATAAGAACAAGTTAATAAAATTATTTAGTTCTGGATTCATCAAATCTAAATACTTAAAAACCAAATAATCAAGTTAATAAACAATAAACATCCAATAACTGCTAGTAAGAATCTCAATCTGATAATCCTATTAAAATCTGTTATATAAATGAACTATAAAAGAAAGTAAGATCATTGTTATTCTGACAAATTATCGGGTATAGGACACAAGGGCGGAAGACGCGTGGGCGGAGGTCGCGTAGGCGGAAGACTTGAGGGCGGAGGACGCAAGGGCGGAAGTTTCCTAAAAGGTTGGACACGAGGGCGGAGGTCGCGATGGCGGAGGTCGATCCCATGATTTGGGCGGAAGACTCGTAAAACGATCACATGTCCTAAATGCTCGACTGGTAATACTACAAAACCGGAAACATCACACAACGTACTTCAAATTGTATAAATTATATAGGTTATATTCAATCAAAGTTATATTCAATCATTTTAGTGGTACTGATTTCGAATTCTTTGTAACTTTACAAACAAAATACACAGGGTTATACTTATAGAGAACGCTTAACGGTAATATAAATCACAATGTAATCAATCAATTTTGTCAAACCCGAATAGAATAATATCACAATAACATAAACATTTCACATAGCACAACATCATCCTCGTACGAATGGTAGTTCTGAACTATGCTGAAGATTCTTCTATCCTTGTCGCTATTGGCCTTCCTCCTCTTAGGCTGCTGCTCTCCAAGCGAATTCGCTAAGGTCTTCTTGTCTGTCGAGGACTGTTCCATCTGGACTAGGAGATTCTGACGTTGTGACTCAAGTTGTTCGTTTCACTGTGCAATCTTTTCGTGTGAAAACTGTTGATCATATCCCAGAAGCCCTTGTGTCATGTGAGTCAAACTATCGAATCGAGTCACGTGATACATAACTTCGACTCACGTCATGAATCACCATGGTCATGATCTCATATAACACAACGGTATGTGAGGACATCACAACATCACGTAAACTGATCTGGGATATGATCAACTGTTTTCACACGAAGAGATTGCACAGTGAAACGAACAACTTGAGTCACAACGTAGACGACTCGAGAGACAACTAGTATATTTAAGACCGATGTTGGGAATAGAAGTATCTTATTATTTAGTTCCAGCTACATCTCAACTACTACAATAACAACCATGTACGATGAAGATACATTTCATTGCAGCAGTCCAGATGGAACAGTCCTCGACAGACAAGAAGATCTTAGCGAATTCGCTTGGAGAGCAGCCGCCTAAGAGGAAGAAGGCCAACAGCGACAAGGATAAAAGAATCCTCAGCATAGTTCAGAACTACCATTCGTACGAGGATGATATTTTAACCTATATTGATTTGCTAAAGAGTGCTATGTGAAATGTTTATGTTATTGCATGATATTATTCTATTCGGGTTTTGACAAAATTGATTGATTACATTGTGATTTATATTACCTTTAAGCGTTCTCTATAACCCTGTGTATTTTGTTTTTAAAGTTACAAAGAATTCGAAATCAGTACCACTAAAATGATTGAATATAACTTATATAATTTATACAATTTGAAGTACGTTGTGTGATGTTTCAGGTTTTGTAGTATTACCAGTCGAGCATTTAGGACATGTGATCGTTTTACGAGACTTCCGCCCAAATCATGGGATCGACCTCCGCCTACGCGACCTCCGCACACGCGTCTTCCGCCCTCCTGATTGGTTCCCAAATTATCAACAGAGTTGAAATTGAGGTTGGCTTTATCTCCTCTGACAAGTGTAAAGCGTCAAATATACGCTACAAATTCAAAATTATCAAAAGATTATAGTCATATTATTGCTTACAATTTTATGAACGCATAGCCGCCTGCGGCTTTAGTTAGATTATATCACGTCATAACATCATTTTAATCCTAGCAGAAAAAGGCATTGTCCCCAAACTGGATATCAAAATCGTCTTAAATTTCTTCAATTATTATTGTTAAAAAGTATAATATTGAACTCTGTAGTAACATTATTTCATCTGTATAAGGCACAGCCTCGATGGTAGCTAAAAATCAGACGTACGATCAAATCCCACGTTTCAAGGATCTCCAGTCTCACACTCATTGGCTGAAAATCATTGTGTTAGAATACTAAACACGGATTTATTTGGATGTGAATTTCCCTGAATTTCTATTAAACCGAGCTTGCCGCACTATACTTACATTAATCAGTTTAATTTTTCGCAAATAACAGTGAAAATGCAAGCTCAACAACACAATCCTACACCACACAGTAGCAATGAGAAATGCGGCATTTTTCCAGTAAGCTTACATTTACCACTTATTAGCCAATACTGTAATTTTGCAGGGAAATTGTAATACAACTTGTGGAAAACCAAGTCTTAAGTTATATCACCTATGCAACCGATAGACGATATTATTTACCATCAATGATAGATTTATACTTCAACATTAATTTACCTTTCCGATTTTCAAAGTAACCTGAATACCTGATGATGGTGATATACCTCACGCTCGAAATTCTTTAAAAAATACAGACTTACAATCCAGCGATTATATCTTCCTTGGAGATATCATCAGGGTGTCTCTCCTCCAACTGTAAGAAGTAGGTTGCTAGGCTACCAGCCACCAACATATGGAACGCAAGGACTAGTCCCAATAACCCTTGTGACATCCACGCTAGAGTCTGGAGGGAGAGGGAGGGTTTTATAAGTCAGGTGTAATGTAGAAGTACGGTAAAACCCCAATTAACCGCAGCCATTTCCTTCCCCGAAATTATTGATAAATGAAACCAAAAAACCTTAAAATATCAGTTGCGCTTTTTTCAATCGTTTTTTCAATAATGATATTGTAAAATGAAATGACAGATTCAGTGGCAGCGCCTAATAAAACTAAGGGGTGGCGCTGTTAACACACACAGTCAATAAATAAAGGGACAGTAATTGTGATAATATGGCGTACCATAGCAGAGACCATGTACCCGCAGAAGTAGTTCATTGTATTGTCAAGAATCTTAGAGATAGGATAACACACAGCCAAGGTATTCTGCATTGTTTCGTTCATCTGCCAGGTAAAACAGCTAACCTCGTTGTGAAGTACTGGCTGCCAGTAGTCAATATAAGTCTGAAACAGCGGGGTAGATTAATTAATAGTAGATTAATTAACTAATAGAACTTGTTCAGCTGCATCTAACTTCTTCGTGTTAAGTTAGTAAGTTTTAAACCTTTATTCAAATCTGCTTTTTTCTGCTGTGTAAATTACCTTACCTCCGTCTGTTTTTGGTTGGGACTAAATAGTTGGCAGTTGGGTTTCACGGATAATTATTTATTAATTAATTAATGATAGGTATACCTGGTTGATGATATCCCAGGAGAATTTGACCCCGTCGTTAAGAAGATTCTTGTTGGTAAAGTCGTACTCTTCCATCAGCAGATTTATGAACTCTGGACCGTACTTACTCCACTGTGCCTCTACCAGACTAGCTTTATTTTTCATGTCTAACTGATGAATGAGATATGGATCACGTTCATATAGTATTTTTATCTTAAGGGGTAGTATTTGTTTATATTCCAGCCGATGTGTTTATATATATTATATAATATATGTATGTATTATTTGAAATAGACTGAACAAATTGGTAGAAACTTACAATCGCTGCCTTCTTTTCTGTTATGGCGTCCACCCATTCAAGACAGTAAAATTTATGAAAGTTCCAAGTAGCATTTTCGTGAGTAAATAGATGCTGAAAAAACGATTAGTTTTAAGTTTTCATTTTACAGTTTATTGATTAAAACAATCGATCATTTCCCCACGCGAAATAGTGTAAAAAGGAAAATGTTGGCAATTACTGACTGCAGTTTTAATTCCTTTATTTGTTTAATATAACTTATTTAAGTTAATCTCCCAGTCTACCTTGCAATCGAACACTTCTCCCTCTGTTTCAGTAATTTGTGCACCGTATGGTTTGAAAGCACTGCAGAAATCTTTATTATCTATCTTTATCTTACTATCTGATTCGGACTTTGGGCTTATCTCGTCAAACGTTACCTCCATAAAACCGTTTGCTAACTGAATTTTTACAATTTTTATGATTTCGCAAAGATTATAAGATTCTTAATTATCTTCACTGCAGACTAGATAACTGATAACTGAAGAAATCTATATCAAATGCCTTTAGAAAATCAAGAATGAAGTTTAGTTATAAGAGAAAAACCTATAATATCATGATTAAACAAAAACAGTAAAAATTTACACAGCAAAGAAACGCACGTTATTTTTTAGAGTTTTCCAAGAGAGCTGTGTGGCAAAGCTGACATTCCAGAAAGTTAGCCATTCCACAAGTTCAGGAGGGTAGGCTGGGTAGTTGTTGAAGTTAAGAGACACGTCGTTCATCAGCTGCGTTACCGTGTAATCTATATTCAGCGACTGAGGAGTATTGACAACTTTTAAAACAAATCTTCGTACTAAACTTTCTCTCAAATTTAGATTTGTTCTTACCGTTTCATCCCCGTAAATATTGTTAACAACGAACTATTACCTTATCATAACGTCATTACAGTCAATTAGAATTTCTGATAAACCACAAATTAAAAACTAATCAATTAACCTCGTTGAGTTGCATCATGGACACAAGATCATAATCTGAATCGTTAACGAGTCCCAGAGAATACCACAGGGTCTTGTTATCCCGGCACCTCAGCCACAGATCCTTGAAGGTCATTGGGTAGGTGTCATTTCCTAACACTGCACGTCCCAGCACGGAGTAGTCAACTATCACTTTATCGTCAAACAGCTGTAATGAAGTCAGTGTAGGTTGTGTGAGTTGTGATTATTTGCCACACCAAACTGTTGCTTCTGCTTTAGTGCCGTCAGTATAATAATGATCATGCACAGGGACCAGGGTAAGGTAAATTTTAAAAGTTTAAATTAACGTGGCTTTAAATTGACGTTTTATAAGAAATACCCTTCTTATTTTGGTGGTTTTAACATTTTCAAACGGACTTGATATGACTCACCCTGAAAAGGGACTCATTGTAATAATCTTTACAAACGAGACTGAAGGCTGTTCCAGGAACGAAGAAGAGAGTAGCCATGAAGAGGTTGATGATAGCCATCATAGCGGCCCAGTAGGAGGATAACTTTATCAGCCTTCCCCCCATACTACACGCTGATGTCCTGAAAAAGGTTGGTACACACTATAATCTTACAATATAGCATAACATTAACACAATCAAACAAAACAAGCGGTTAAACTTTCTGCTACTGTATTATTACAGTAGTAGTATTGTATATTAAGTTACCCGTCCGTTTACTTCATGTGCAGAACCGTTCATTTACAAAACCAGACTCAGACCTTAGACTGACGTTACCTCAAATGAGGGGGAACACCTCAGACTGACGTTACCTCAAATGAGGGGGAACACCTCAGACTGACGTTACCTCAAATGAGGGGGAACACCACAGACTGACGCTACCTCAAATGAGGGGGAAGTGGGGAACACCTCAGACTGACGTTACCTCAAATGAGGGGGAACACCTCAGACTGACGTTACCTCAAATGAGGGGGAACATCTCAGACTGACGTTACCTCAAATGAGGGGGAACATCTCAGACTGACGTTACCACAAATGAGGGGGAACACCTCAGACTGACGTTACCTCAAATTAGAGGGAACACCTCACTCTGACGTTACCTCAAATGAGGGGGAACATCACTGATGTTACAGTATCCCATGCAGACACCAGCTACAGCTAAACAGGCCGACAACATGCAGAATGTCACTATGAAGATCGTCCCAATGTTCCTGGGAGAGGATATTGGTTAGTTACAGTCATCACAACCTAGCATCTGTTAGCTCGAATGGAGGAGCTTCAGAGAAAGAGAGGTCAGCCGAGATTTTAAACGAGGTCAATTTCTAAGCCAGGTCTCTCCCCAGTGTTATTGCTTTCCTCTACAATACAGTGAATATCAATCTATTTTCAGTATGACTCACTAAAAAACAAATCAAGATAACCTGATATTATCGAATTTGCTGGCGTCACTGTCGGATGAAATGCTGGACAAAATTGTTGTTTTGAGCTTGTCGAACACTTCGTTGGTCTCGTTGAATCTCTGTTGTATTGTTTCGAACTGAGCCGTCATCTCCGCTGCTGCTTCATCAAGAGAGAAGTACGCCTCTGTGATACAGATAAGATTAGATAACAGTCAGCATAGCACCGAACAGATTGATGAATGATGACAATATGTTCCTTGGTTATTAGTATTCACTGAATATGTGTAATGGTGTAATTGCTAGACAACAGACACTCGTATATCGTGTCTGAGGTCTTTCAGTTCAGACACTCTTCTTAAAAATCTTAAAAGAGTAACATATTATAAAGGACCAATATTGACAAAAACAACTTCCTCGTTGGACACAAATAATTATCTGTCAAGGATAAGTCCATATCATTGAAGTGCAGAGAAAAATACTCTACGAGTTTTCTTACCCTTTCTTGCTAGGTCAGATGTTTTCCACATTGTGAAATCTGATGCAGTAGGTATATTTTCACCATACCGTTTCTTCTCCAAAACAGTACAGGTTGGGTATTGGAAAGCAGAGGAGCCTCTAGCTGTAGCTTCTTTCAGCGCTTTGGCCGTGGAGGGAGCACAGAAAGGTACTTTACAGTACTCCCAGTCTGTAGCTCCTGTCCCTGTGAAGCACCTGCAAGAAGGGTTGTAGAGTGATGGAGGTCCATTCTAAAATAATCAACAGTGCCGCAAAGACCCTATTTAGACAGAAAATGCGTGGCTTCATTACACGTCACTCTTCTGCAAGTTCCATCTAGTTGGGTACTAGGAATGCAACCTGGTCACATTTTAACAGAGACTTAAACAGAAAATGATCATGATAGAAGCAAACAATTTGAAAGATTTTTAATAGGACATTTTCAAATTTCAGTTTTCGACGAAGGAAAATTTTGGAAGATTTTCAAATAGAAGTTTTTTTGCCATTTCCTTGACCGAAATTTCACTGTTTTAACTTAATTTTTCTTGAATGACTCAATAATGAGTTTACTGTGGAGTGTGGATGCACTCGATTGAGGTGCTGAAAGTTACCTTACTCGGGATTATTACGACGGGTTTATTAACGACCGGTTAAAATATGGTTCGGGAAAAATATGGCGAAATTGCTCAAAACCCACCACATTTTCCCGGTCGCCATTTTACCGGTGTCCAACCTTTCAATTTTAGATTCAAAAATTTTGTCTCAGATGTAAATTTCCTTATTAGAGATAGGCAAGTTTAGAAATTTTCGCATTGCTCAAACTTGTGAAGCAAGTCGAATTATCAATAATTGTTGAAAGTAGACAGAAATAATGACTCGTGGTTAATCAAACTAGATAGAAAATAATTTTTAACATTAGAAGCGTAACAACCAGATCGATATAAGGATAAAGGGAGAGCTGTTTAGTCTTCCAATAAGTTGTAATCATCTTCTTTATCTTCATCTGGATCATCCCTTTCATCATCCCCCCTTTTCTGAGCCTGGAACTCGTAATCATATGCCGCTCTTAGGAGTACCTTCATTTTGTCAGCTAAAGGTGCGACAAAATGAAGAAATTAAAAATTGGCCGATTTAAATCAAATTTGACAATAAGGATATATGACAAGAATTGGGCAAAAAGGTGAATTTTTTGCAATTTTAGCCAAATGAAGTCGAAAAACCTACAACAAGTGTCCCAATAGTCTTCTTTAGTGAATATAAGACAACGATTAAAATATGAGCACCCATACCCCTTGGGAACCCTAAAAGCTGAGTCGGCGGGTTTATTAACGACCGGTGAAAATGTGGTTCGGGAAAAATATGGCGAAATTACCCTAAACCCGCCACTTTATCCCGGTCATAATAATCCCGAGTAAGGTAGCTAACCGTAGAAAACTTTGAAATAGGTCTTTATCTTCGGTTAGTAACATAAATATGAAATGGAAATAAACACTCCACTTACCAAGCTCGTGTCTTGACATCATTGTCTGTTTTAGTTCCATACAGCCCCTTTTGAGGGCTAGGATTCCTACAGAAGTTATGTTGAAAAGATATATCTTCAATATCATCCAGATAATACAGCCCAGTGTAGCCCTGGTCAGCCGCCCAGGAGTCCCACGTGGCTCCTTCTTCTCCTTCTACTGCCACCTGAGCCCACTTCTTACAGTCCGTTCCTTTCACTGTTACGGAGATATTCCCACGGTAGTCCGACTGGTTCCCGCCGGGTTGTATTTTATCTTCTTTGTATATTTCTTTTGGTCCGCACTCTGATATGGTTAGAATGATAGGCTATGAGCTGGTTTGAGGAAAATTCTTAAAAACACATTGCATTTGTTTTCTTGTTATAACTAATTATTCATCAAATTAACAAATTAACAAATTAGTTAAGCAGATATGACTTACTTGTATAGTCAGTATTGTTGGTGTTAGGATCACTTTGGTCAAGGGCATACTGAATACTGACACAGCAGTCTCCCCAAAATAGCAATGTAGCTGTGTCTTTCACGCGACATCCTTCAGGATCCGAACAAGTGATTTCCTCCTTTATAGTGAGCTTTGGTAGTATGGCTGAGGTAATGATTCGATAGAAGATGAATAAGAAAATTAAAAATAATCTATTGATACACAAATTATTTATATAATACTAATAGGGAGGCTGGTCTTGTAACAAACTATGATTTAAAACATAAACCTATAAACTAAAACTCAACTGGGCTCTCCTATGTCACCAAACTAAACCAATAAGTAATTTCAGATTATTATATTTTTCTATATTAGTATAACAAGTATATTGACGTATATAGTAGTGGATGGTTGAGGGGGTTTCAAGCACAGGTCACTCTCAAATCCTAAAGATAAGCAGTGGCCTTCGGCAATTGAAACCTCTTCAAACCTCCCCTGATTTATTTATTGTTGATATTGTTTGATTGTGCCGTAAAAATAAATATTTGTTTTATTAAATATTTGTTTTATTAAAACAACAGCCACTTTGAAATTCACATCACGTGATGTAGTGAGCAGATCACGTGATGTAGTGAACTGATCACGTGATGTAGTGAACTGATCACGTGATGTAGTGAACTGATCACGTGATGTAGTGAGCTGATCACGTGATGTAGTGAACTTATCACGTGATGTAGTGAACTGATCACGTGATGTAGTGAACTGATCACGTGATGTAGTGAACGATCACGTGATGTAGTGAACTGATCACGTGATGAACTAACCACATGCTCCTGATACCCAGGAAGTATCATCATCTGATAACGTGAGCACTCCCTTCATCAGATAGTACTTGGTTACACCGCTAGCCACTTCTTTTGTTACACCAGTGCACTCTGAAAGGAAGGTATTGTGGGCAAGTCACAAGTGGGCAACAGTAAGAAAAAACCAATTGGCAATTATGTAGTTGTAACAATTAATATACTGTGATACTGTATAATTATTAATTAAGCACCATTAATTATTAATTAAGTCTTATTAACGAAGATGTAATTGTCGGATTAATATCTTAAATACTACTCGTTTTCTGGATTAATACCTTTGTTAACAGTACAAGGAATTTGAGCTTTACTGAGATCGTCGTAGCCTGTCTCACCCAGTTTCTCACCCAGACTCATCTTGGTGTGTTCACACCACGTGACTAGTAAAATATAGTTACAAATTAATTAAACTGATTATATAAAAATACAAAATAATATAATTTTCCTCAAAAACTGAATTACTATTCAATGGCTAAGAGGTCATAATATATTAGATTAAATATGAATTACTGCTTAAACCAGTTATCAATCGTTTTATTAAAAAATGTCCATCTTGGAGATCAAAGTACAGTTAGCAGTTTAAATTAATATGCTATACCCAGTTGCTGCACTGCCCAAGATATGAACATTACAATTATTCTAAAAGTAATATTATCTAGCTGATTATCCAAATAAAGATTGGTAACTGACCACAGGCCCCGGTGACCCAGGAGGTGTCCTCAAACAATGAGGCTGTCAGCGAGCCCTTGCCCAGATAGAATTTGGTTACCCCGCTCCGCACCTCTTTTACTACTCCGGTGCACGCTGAAAATAAGGTGATAGAATATGTTCAAAACATTACCGTACCGTTGAAATGACAAATTTCATTCAAACAAAAATGTAATAGGGTGAATTCCCCCATCATACCTTTGTCAGCGGTTGCAATACAAGCGTTTTGGGTGGTTTTGAGATCGTCGTACCCTGTTTCAGTGAGTTTCTCATTCAGGTTGTACTTATCATGCTCGCACCAGTCAACTGTACAATTATATCTTATTACTAATTGTATGAACCTATAAATATGGAGTATAGGGGTCTTACTAGGATATGAGCGAAAAAATAAACGTTTAACGCTTGCCTTAAGGGGGCCGGGGGGTCTTCATCAAAATTCTCTCGAAATTGACTTTATAGTTGTTTCTGGTAGAAGGGAGTGATATCTACCAGCTGCTTTTGGTCCCATGAAAAATATTGTTCCTAGCCGAAATTATCACCGGTCTAAGGTCAGCGCTTATGTGTAATTGTATTGCGCGAGCGATTTTCAATCGCAAATTCTGAAAATCGAGTCTAAAAATCTATCTTCTCCTACATTTTTTGAGTAATCACCCTGAAACTTTCAGGATATGTTTTGAGATAGGCCTTTAAAAAATTTTTATTCAATTTTGAAAATCTTGGACCTCGTTTTTTTACGATTTTTTCAGGTCCAAGATTTTCAAAATTAAATAAATTTTTTTAAAAGGCCTATCTTAAAATTTTGGCTTGAACGATCTCTTTTAAATGATCCCTAGAACATATCCTGAAAGTTTCAGGGTGATTGCTCAAAAAATGTATGAGAAGATAGATTTTTAGACTTGATTTTCAGAATTTGCGATTGAAAATCGCTCGCGCAATACAATTACAAATAAGCGCTGACCTTAGACCAGCGATAATTTCGGCTAGGAACAATATTTTTCCATGGGACCAAAAGCAGCTGGTAGATATCACTCCCTTCTACCAGAAACAACTATAAAGTCAATTTCGAGAGAATTTTGATGAAGACCCCCCCCCCCCCCCCCGGCCCCCTTAAACTCTTAAACACGATCGGGATGTTTTACTTTTATCAAAAATTATATTTTTGGGTCGGAGAAAACATTGGCCACACTCTACATCGAGTCCAATGTTTCATAATTTAAATTAATTCAATTAATTTTGATGAATATTATAAACTGACCGCAGGCACCAGACAGCCAGGAGGTTTCATCTGCAGCTTTATCAGCTGCAGCCGCCGTCAATACCCCCTTCATTACAAAGTATTGGGCTGCTAGCTTTGTAACTCCAGTGCACGCTGAACAAATGTTATAGTGCAGGCAAGTGGGTACTGTGGTAAAATGAAACAGTCGTACCATACCATTCTGTTAAAATGACAAATTAACATTGAACCTAAAATCAAATTGTTGGACTATTGAAATCTATAATATACATTTTGGATGATTATCAAAAGTAATACCGGTGTTAGCTGTGCAAGCATCTTGAGCGAGCGGTAGAGTGAGGTATACGTCCTCAGTCAGCTTTTCAGTTAGGTTGTATTTTGCGAACTCACACCACTCAACTGTACGATAAAATCTACTTATAGATCATACAAGGCTAAAAATATGGAGAATTTAACAGGATTTGATTTCAATTTGACGATGATAATCTCTGTATTCTTAAAAAATTGAATTATTTAATTTCTCAAATGATATTATATCATGTTTGATACAAAAGTATTTTTTCAGTATAACATAAGGTACCTGCAGCCACTGTCACTGTTATCTTATCATGCTGTGTGACTAGGAGTTTACCGGTTGTCAGATCCGTCAACATGCACGTTCCTCTGTTTTTATTATAACAGTTACAAATTACAAAGTTGAAAATTACTTGTCTACTGTCAGATGAATTAACTGTGGATTGTGGTTTCCCTTCTGTATTTTGAGAACACAACTAATATGGAGAGCATCATCTCAAAGTTGCTGCTCAAAATTTAGTTAGTATTGAAAATCAGACAGTGCAACTCTTACGTGTAAGAAGGTTGTTTACTATAAAACTTGGTGTCCTTCGCTTCTAGGGTTCCGTTGTGGAAAAACTTTCCGTTAAAGTAAGCCTGTGTAGAACCATGTGATTATGAGTTTATTTAAAACCTCGGAAAGTGGTCAAGACTTAAATGTAACCAAATCAATTGTACAGTTCAAATAAAAGTGGGACTGTATTACCGATCTAGCAAGAGCCCCCAGGGCACCGTTTTCTGCTATGTTAACCACGTCCTCTTTAGCTTTAATTACCTCGTCGTAGAACCACTGTCCAGAAAGTTTATAAATTACAGTTTCCAGGAAAAATACACAATATCAATACGCTTGTTGGGCTTGAGCACCAAAAATCTTGAAATATTATTGCTCTGCTGAACAGTAGATGACCAATGACATCTGAAAACCATACAAATAACTAAATAGATTGGTGACATCAAACATACCTTGGCGGGATCAACTGCGGTGAGATAGCTAGGGTTGATCTCTTTATCTGAGTCACACTTGGCGCTGTTCGCTGACTGCATGAAAATTTAAATTATTTAATACTGATACTCAACTTTTTGAGGGGATATGTTTCAGAATTTTTACAACTGTAAGTTGTTAAGCGCAGTAACTTATTCCTAATATATACCAGTATACATAATGTTAAGTGTTTTTATGAATAATTATATTTCAGTAAGAATAGTAATGATGGAATAAGAAAAAGACTCACTGCGGAACACCATTTTTTAATAGCTGTTAAACAAGTTTTAGCTTCTTTTAACTTTGTAAGAAGAGTGAACGTGGTCTCGTTTTCCGCTGTATATTTATCATAGAGGTTTACTATGTTTGCTTTTTGATGATTTCCTATCACTGAATAAGTTAGATAATATAAACAGGTGATAACATCAAATTCACAAGACAAAATTATAGATTTTTCTCTTTTTGGGCAGTCCCATTAATTAACAAATCACCGTATTATACGTAGAATCACAAAGACACTGCACATAATTAGATAACTAAACAAGTTATCTCATGAAGATATGATCTAAAAATAGCTTCCAACAAGCACCTACTGTCAGCAACCATGAGAGATTTGTTGTACATATCCGACACATTCTGTGCTATCTGAAGGTACACGTAACCAGACGCATTGACCACAGCTTGGTTCATGCGAGTCCTTAGTATTCCCAGTTGGGTCTTCTTGTAGTCTTCCATAAACAGCACAGTCATTTGCTGCAGTGGGTATAATGTATAATGTATAATGTATAATGTATAATGTATAATGTATAATGTATAATGTATAATGTATAATGTATAATGTATAATGTATGATGTATAATGTATATAATGTATTATAATGTATTATAATGTATAAACAGCACAGTCATTTGCTGCAGCGGATCGTTAAGTTGCGAGTATAATGTAGACAATTATTAAGTAACAAAAGGTAGTTGGTCAGTAACTTATATTATTAGACTTATATTAATAAATATACTTGTGGCAGTTGTGGGGAAAAGCAAGAAATTCTCACACTTTTATACCAGTCCTTTTTGCTATCAAAATAGGGTGCATGATATAATATGGCATAATTTATCGTTTATACAGGACTGAGCAGGACATTAAAAAGATGAAATGGTATATTTATAATAGTAAATTTACCTCTTCAATATTTTTAGTAAAGTTTTCTGTGACCTCCACAGTCCATTGAATGTGTCTTGAAGCTTCATTTACATTATTTGAGATGTGCGTATTGGCAACCCACGCAATGATACAACCAAACCTTGAATAATGTCAGTGTTATTACGACCAGTTAAGTTGCAACTAGTCTATTTCACAAAGATGACAATCACGATTGAAATAATAATTACATATATTTTTTAAATAATGATCTATCTATAATTTAGATAATACAATATCAGAATTAAAGAAAAATACATTAAAGCTTACATTACAAAGACAGTAAAAAGAGACAGTAGGAACGATAAAATGAATCTCATAGAACCCTGACTGTCAGCAATTCTTTGACTTTTCACCTCAGTGATGTTTCCTGTAAAATTCGGAGATGTTACAGCCCTAACAATGGATATTGAATGTATGATGCAATAAACCTCCAGCTCCCGGGCCTCTGGCAAAACTAGATCTTAATTTTTCAGACGTATTATTATTTATTATGGTTTATGATGGAAAGCGAGAAGTAAAACCAAGATTGACTTACCTGTTAATTTGAGTGACCAAAAGATTATGTAGAAAACGAGAATAAACGTAGCAGTCAGGACCCCGATAGCGATAATCACCGCTATGGTGAGTTGGTATTCTACTAATTTTAGTATTTTTGATAAACTGTCAATAGGAGATAGTTCCATTGCCAGTGATACCGTTTCTGAAAGACGGTATTATTATCGGGGATATTATCATGCACATGGTCTCCATATTTGAGGTTACCTTGTGTACAGCCTGCATGATAAAGTGAATCAAAGACCTCGATATCATTGGAGAACTGGAAAAAAAAATATTTGAACATTTGTAGCAACAGGTTAGTGGCGTAACGAAGGCCCCCACGGACCCCTGCTGTAATAGTCAATTTCAGCAGGGTGCCTAATGGTAACGTTATGCCACTGCAGCAGGTACAACTAAAACTGTCAAGTTATCCTATATCTTAAAATGTGTTACACCAGATCAGTACTAAAGCCACATTTACCAAAGAGTGACTTTCTGGTTATTACATCTAAAAAAGCATCGCCAATTGTTTTGAATACGCTCAATGTCTTGACATCATAATTAGTTCCGACATCAGTAATAATAGGAGGTACTATTGGATAGGGACGAAGTTCATTCTCACAGGTTTCTTTGTTGTACAGCTTTGATGCACTGAAAAATGAACCATAATGATTTTGTTACTTAGTTAAGTACATAGTTAAGTTACTTAGTAAGTTACTTAGTAGGAATAATTTTGGAATCCAAATTGATTCTTGTGGAATAAAATTCAGTCAGTCACAAGGACAAATCACTGGCTTGAGAATGATTTTGATTGCACCTTAACCAAAATTATCCTTACTCATTATGACACAATTAAAATAATAAAGATCAAATTTATTGAATTTAACGGATTCATAAATATAAAAGTATTTCTCTTGAAGCATTGGAATTTAAGCTTAAATGACACACTTACTTTGGCCACCTTTTCCAGTCGGTGTAATCTGGTGCATCTCTGATATGTCTGCTGCCCTTCTTTTCGACTGACTTTAGATCCCAACCATATGAGAGCAAGGGGATGGAAGTCAAACTGATCACCACAGTCCAAAGTATCATTGTTAGTCAAAATACCACTTACATTGTGGATTACCTTGTCACCATGCTAAAATACAAATCATACATGGTAATTGATTACAATACGTCCTATAACAATAAATTGTAGGTTGTTTCCATTCCACAAGATTATTATACTGCGTCAATTATGACAGCAATAATTCTCTTCATGTTAAATCTGAAATCGAAAGCTTTTAGCTTTCAAATCAAAATCTTAAGGTGAAGCTACTAAGTTGAATGATGTTTTTCTACCTCAAGTCCTCAACTACAGTTCTATCAGCATGATATAATGACTAATGAGGTGACAAGTAAAACTTTTAGCAGTTTTCAAAATTTAAGTTTTGCAAATGCAATTCTCAGGTTTCTCATTGATGTTTATTTTTTGCCTTTTTTTCAATTATTCGCATTCTTTCGAACCTCCTGCTACTCATCAATATCAGAGATCTCCTCACAGGAATTTACCTGCTTTGCATCGCAATTGTGGATTCCATTACATACGGAGAAGAAAACTGCAAGCAGCAACATGCGTGGTTATCAAGCACCATGTGTTCATCACTTGGAGTGGTAAGTACATTTGGGGCGTAAATATTCCTTTTTTCCATGACTCTTTTCAGCGTGTTCCGTTTGTTTGAAATTTTCAATTTGATATTTAATATGTTAGAAAACCTTTTATTGAAAATCGCTGGTTTGATTATGACTGTTACTGTTCCAAGCCTTATGATTGCTATTGAGCCTCTTATTTTATTCTTTGAAGATTTGTTTGTGAACGGAATTTCATACAACCCTAACATGAAACTGTTTTTACCTTGTGTGGATTTTTTAAAAACTCACTTCGGTGTTATAGAAAGTTTCTATGGGAACGTAAGGTTGCAAGGTGACACGTCATGGCAACGCATAAACTCACTGATTGACGAAATGTTCACAAGTGACTACAACAATGGGACACTTGACCGAAGGAAAATTCATTTTTACGGTGCTGATGGTGTTTGTCTTTTCAAGTACTTTGTCCAGAACAATTATCCACAAAAAGCCTTTTTGTGGCTTTGCTTAGGAGTTAACTTATTCTGTTTTTTTGACAATTTGCTTTTGCTATACTATAAGCTCATCATTGTGAAAACAAAAAAATTGGCTGAAACTTTGGAACTCAAAGAAATCTAACTTCATATCAAGCAATTGCATAGAAACTTCTATTAACTTGATAAAATTGAACCAAAGCACTATTAGTACAATCACAGGCAGCTGACTTAAAAGATACTTGGACTCGAAACAATTTTAAATTGCAGTAATCAAATTGCAGTCAAACACACTTACTATTACTATCATGATTGAACTATAAGCTGAAAAGCTTTCAGATCGTTTTTTACCACTTGCTGAATTTTTTTAAATAATAAATATTTGCTCTAACCAGAGCCCTCTCCACAGGAGGAGCTAAGTGCAAAGAAACTGTCACTAACTGCTACAAACTGCTACTAACTGCCACTAACTGCCACTAACTGCCACAAACTGCTACTAACTGCTACAAACTGCCACTAACTGCTACTAACTGCCACTAACTGCTACAATCGCGCCCACGCATTTGCGCGCGACAGTAGCAGTTAGTGGCAGTTAGTGGCAGTTAGTGGCAGTTTGTAGCAGTTAGTGGCAGTTTTATGCGCGTCGGGATTTCAAATCGAGCGCTCATCATTTATATAATAGCAAGTCTGCAGCGCTTAGAGCTGCATTGTTGACTAAACCAGACTGTGCACGTTGCGCTAGATGTCAAATGTTGCAGATAGCGTATACGTTTTTTAAAACTATGTTTTGATTTTATTTGACTTAACTGTACTTGTAGTAAACGGTCGGCCGTTTTACAACACGGCAATATGACTGCTTGTGTTAGTTTCGACATTAAGTATTTTGTTCTCGCATGAGTATAGAAATGTTTGATATGAATTATGAAATGAGAAGTCGTGTATTGTGTAATAGATTCAGAAGACTCGTAAATGTGCAAGTATATGAATATTTATATCATATCCATTGAATTATATTCATGGGACCAGCAAAAGCTCACAGTTAACAGCATTTATTTTTATTTATGATAAGATGATAAGTTCGTTATGAGCAATTTTTAATTTAGTTCGTATCAGGCTAGGAGTCTAGTAATCGAGTTTTATTTGCTAATAAAAAAGACTTCTCTACGGTATTAGGAAAACTGCTGTGATAGATCGGAGCGCAGCAAAAAATGTAATAGCTTGTCTGGACCAAATTCTACCAAATATTATCACTACAAGTATAACACTTTTCGGAGTTAGAATGGTGATGTCCATATGTTAACGGTGCGCGGTGATATCATTGAAGCTGAAGTCGGCACTAAAAATTTAAGTAGATATACCTCACGCCACACACTAATTGCTGATTGCATTCGTTTGTAATTTTATTGTCTCTTATCAGCTTGCTTACTTCTCCTACCTTAACGCCTAACGGCAAGATTGATGTGTGCTTTTACGTATCTGACAAGTGAAAATTAATAACAATAAATTTCACCTACTGAACGATTTCATAATAGAAATGTTGCTAGTTTGGTTTTAAATCTATTTCTCCACCGTGCAACAGGATCTGTTTCACGTTCACTCTTTATAAGATAAAAGCCTATAATCGATGATTTTGCCCTTATAGCTTAGTTGTAGTGAATTCGTACGGAACGTTCACTAAAAATAGTTTGTGAACGCGTTCGCTCAAAGATTTTAACGTTCGGAACATAAGAATTTAAAATATTAATACGCTATCGATTCCCGCAATTTTACATGTTCTATATGAGTTAGAAGAGTTTTAGCGCGCATGCATGCACGTTTCAGGCCCTAAAACTCCGCTAGTGTTTGTGGATAGAAGTCGACTATTTATGCTCAATTCTCGAGCCGATAATAGCCTTGCTTAGATTTTCAGACAATAGTCTTAAGATTCCTGTTGGTTTCATCGGTGTAATTTATTACAAATATTATTTGTTCACCTTAAAGTTAGCAAATTTTGCTTTTCGCAATTGAAACCATAAAAGTGATATGGTTAGTTTTGCCAACAAAAGGTGGCTCGAGCTCCATTCCCCCCTACATTCAGTAGGGTTTTGTGTTCACCCGGCTTATATATCAGGGATATGATCAACACACGAATCAGGATGTCTGGAAGGAGTTTCTAGATGTCATGTACACGTGGTGTGACGGCGCAACAAAGAAGAAGATACTTTCGCAGTACACGTTCTACCGAGAGAAAAGAGGCTTATTCTCTACTGACGCTGCCTCAAGTTTTAGCCAAGATTCTGACGGTCCAGTCTCTTGGTGGAGCAACTTCGGTTGCGAGGTACCCGAACTCGGAACTACAGAGTTTTGCAATAAAAGCGCTGTCGCAATCGACATCAGCCTCACCCTGTGAGACGAATTGGAGCTTGTACGACTGGGTGATAAACAAAAAAAGAAACCGCCTCACAGTTGACAAGCAGCGAGACCTTATTTATGTTGACGCAAGTTTGCGTCTTATGAACAATTCACGAATTAAGGAGCAATAATTTCATTATTATTTGCTTATTGCTATACTAGTGACTTATTTTTATTCATTATTGTTTATTTACTGTCTAATTCCGACAACATGGTTTTAACTTTTATCTCATTGTATCCATCTAAAGTTAAAAACTATCCAACAAATTATCAAAATAAAATTATCAAAATATTGACTAACACCTGTTTCCAAACAGTTAAAGTTAAAGATTAATAACTTACCGTTGCCTAATTCTGAGAACATGGAACGCACACGTGCGAATATGATTTTACGCGCGAAGTACCCAGAAACTGAATGAGTGAAACTGAAAGAGAATCTAATCGCGCCGCGCGGGGAATAATTTTGGTCACGTACATCATTTTGTGTTCCCTTTTAAAAACAATTACCAGTGCAGAGAGTGGTTTCAGGAACGCAAATTCGACGAAGATGAATTTACCTGGGTACGGTACCTCGCTCAGGCTTTTGTATTTATTAAGTTAAACACATTGATTTAACATTGAACATATTATGGCGATTAAAAATATGCCTATAGCAGATAGGGCGGAATGACAGGTTCAGCAACGCCCAGGAATTACAAGCAGCAAATTCTGCTACTGCTAGTGCTATCAGTATCACGGAGAATCGAAGCAAATATTATAGTGGTACCGTGGCATGTCCATTCTGGGTCAGCGTTGTATATATGTTGCATGGATAACTCCCTGCTTGCTGTTGTTTGAATGCCTCCGGGCTCCGAGCGTTCATTTTAATGTCCGTTTTTAACTTTAAATGGATACAATAAGATAAAACCATGTTGTCGGAATTACTAATTCCGAATTAGACAGTAACTAAGCAATAATGAATAAAAATAAGTCACTAGTATAGCAATAAGCAAATAATAATGAAATTATTGCTCCTTAATTCGTGAATTGTTCATAAGACGCAAACTTGTGTTAAACTTAACATAAATAAGGTCTCGCTGCTTGTCAACTGTGAGGCGGTTTCTTTTTTTGTTTATCACCCAGTCGTACAAGCTCCAATTCGTCTCACAGGGTGAGGCTGATGTCGATTGCGACAGCGCTTTCATTGCAAAACTCTGTAGTTCCGAGTTCGGGTACCTCACACCAAGAGACTGGACCGTCAGAATCTTGGCTAAAACTTGAGGCAGCGTCTCCTACCTACCTATGTCACCTATGTTGAGATTCGTTAAGCTTTAATACAGGGCCATCACATTGTGTGACCACCCCACAGAGAGGAGATCTCTCTGTCATTCCTCCAGCAAAGCAGCGAGTTTGAGTTCTGAGGAGTGTAGCCCCTGATGGGCGGTGTATCCGGAAGAGATAGCATGAACTGGGTGAGCTGCGATTTGAAATGCTCTCGGTCGCCGATGGAATTCAAATGGTAAGGCATTGCATTCCACAATTTTGGGCCTATGACTGCAAATGAATTATCATACAGTGACTGATTTGCTGATGAGCTGTGTCTGCATGCAGATGGAATGACTGCAAGGTTTCCAAAACGTGGCCTGGAGACAAACTGCACGTTAATGTCGTTG